TGACCACACGTCACCCTATATCTGGTTGGATGATCGTTCACCTCTGCTTAGGCACATGAACGTGAGGCCAGCAGTCAAGCTAGTCGGCTTTGGCTCTCTGGAGCTGTTACGCCACGGATTTAATTTTTTAAACAACAACATGAAAGTAACATACATTCAAGTTTCAAATATCTAGTATATTGTTCCAGTGTTAATGCCACTTCAGAAGTTATGACACCACACTTGTGGTATTTTTCACAAAAACAGGAAAATAGAATATATAACATTCATTCCTACCCTCCTAGAACTTTCTTCAGATTATACTTGCAATACAAAACTAATACAAAAACTGAGGTAAATGACTTCAGAGGATAAAAATAAAGCTTCTCAAGAACATTATGCTTGGTTCTCAGCTTCAGCCGGGATAGTAATGCTAGTTGCAATAAATTCCACTAGCAAGGGTTCACCAAGTGAGGTACATACTACCACTTTATGGCATAACACAAGTTTTTAAAGTAGAAATGGCTGTACCCTCTACATGCAATTAGAGACAGACAGTTTGATAAGCCCTTAATAAACTGGGGGCCTGCACTAAAATTCATGTTAATTTTAACATAGTATGTAATACATAATAAAATAAATGTGATCCAACAGTTCAATATGACATAAACCATAACCCAGGCAACCTTCACGACCTAAGATAATCTAGCCATCAGTTACTGTTTCCACTCACGCAGACATTTCTTGTCCAGGCTTAAATTTAAGGACTCTAAGCATCTCAAGTATTCTGACAGTTGTTTGTTCAGGATCTTCTCCACGGATATCCACTTTATTACGTGGATCTACTTCTGCAAGAACATCATTCAAAACCTGAAAAAGGAAAACATGAAATCAAAACTTGGAACTTCAAATGTATTACGTAGGAGGCCAAATTCAAATTTTGTAGGAGTAATGTACCTGAAGTAACTGCTCCGAGTTTAATGAATCAAAGGAGATGAGGTTGTAGTTCTTATTAAATGGGTTCCTGTTCAGCTCGTTCACTATGTACTTCAGTTCTTCACTCATAGTTGTGCAAGCTGTAAATGTAAACTTTAAAATGTGAACACTAAAGAAAACAGCTAGTCGGAAAACAGCAAACAATAAAATGTAACCTATGAACACCGCACTTCAGCTCGCTCATTCACATTATAGTTAGATTTCGTAATTCTGTAGTTCACTAAAACAAATCATGGAAAATTTTCTAAAATGTATATAATGTATAAACACGTCTTGGATATCCGCAAAACAATGTATACAATTCAAAAATACGCCACGTTGTTTCAAGTCACTTAAGGTAGATACGTAATTTGATATCGATACGGATATCAAATGGCTATTAGCTTTCTGAAGTCTGTACAATTAATATAACTGAATAAACTATTTAATAAAACAACACAACTTACGAATCACAACTTTTTCAGGAGACAAAGAAAACAGTATTCGATGATAACTTTTCTCTGAGTTGAAGCGCGACGTCGACCGGAACAGTGCACGGACCAAGAGTGACGCCCCCCCCATAGGAATTCGATAAACGCGCAAGCGCAGGATTTCACGGTGAGTGACGACCCATCCTAAAAGCATTCGTTCCACAATCACTCAACGAACAACAGGCTTTCATGTGTTCTAATGGGTATAGCTTTAAGATTACCTCACAGTGGCACAGTGATTTAATCAAGAATAATATCACAACACCCACAGAATACAGTGCAGGTGCACTCACTACACGCTACGCTTAACTGCTTGATGTTTTCAGTCTGTGTAGTAGTGTAAAACCTGAAAATTAAAGTATACAAAACAATAATCTTGCCTGTTGTTTTGTATGGGTGTGAAACATGGTCTCTCACTCAGAGGGAGGAACACAGATTGCAGGTGTTTGAGAATCGGGTGTTGAGGAGGATATTTGGGCCTAAGAGGGAAGACGATGGGGCGTGGAGAAAACTGCACAATGACGAGCTTAAAAATCTGTACTGCTCCCCCAGTATTGTGAGGGTGATTAAGTCAAGAAGAGTGAGATGGGCGGGACATGTAGCGCGCATGGATGGGACAAGAGGGGTGCACCGGGTACTGGTTGGGAAACCTGAAGGGAAGAGACCGCTGGGGAGACCTAGACGAAGATGGGAGGATAATCTCAGGCGGGATCTATCCGAGATAGGAGTTGAAGGAAACTGGATTTTGTTGGCCCAGGACAGGGTCCGGTGGAGGGCTTTGGTTAATTCGGTGATGAACCTTCGGGTTCGGTAAGGTAGTAGTGTAAAACTATGGCGCGTCACACTTCCCACCAATAGCAGCCCTCTAGTCCAGCTGATAAGAAACTTCCCCCCCCCCCGCTGGGCCTTTTGTCCTCTTCTGTCGACAGAAGTTTACCGACGTTTCAGAGGTCCTTGCCGCCTCCTTCATTAGGGAAATGAATGATTTATTACTGCTACCAAACTACTGAGCACATTAATACAAAGTAGCCATTGCAGAAAGTGGCAATAACAATTAAATTAATTTTTCGTAATAAACATTTCTAATTGACTTACATAATTTCCAGACGGACTCTTTGCATACAATACTGTCGCGGACTTACGCACCACAGAAACATAATTGATTGAAATCGCTCGGGCGCCCCGTCCCCGCAGTGACGTTAGTATGCTGCGTGCTCTGGCTTCTGGAAGCTCCTCAGCTGGACAACAAACTCCACGGAGGCACAGGATCTATGGGCGTCGATTGTCCCAGCACCGTCTCCTCTCCCACATAAACTACAAGTTTTCCGTGTTTTTCTTCAGTTCTAAGGCAAATGCCAGAGTATAATTCAAAAGGGTGATGGCCCACCTCCTCAATCATGGAGGCCTTCAGCCACAAGTATTCCTCTCTTCACAAGTCCCTGAGGCCATCATCCAAAAGCACTTCCACACCTGGGTTCAAATGCCAGACACCCATCCAGCCAAAGTTCTTTTTGTAAAGGACAATTTTCCTGGCAGTATCATGCAGTGGCAAAGCCAATCATGAAGTCCTGAGCGAAACCGATTAATAAGGTCCATTATAACAAAAGTACATGGATGGCAATTTAGGTGATTTCAATTATAGTTGTAAAAGATTTGAAAACTACCTCTGCAGAATTAACTCACCTGTTTCATGGAAGTCTTCCTTGTCCCCTGGTGATATAGGATGACCTACTTCCATAATGTGGCAGCAATAGCCTGCTTCCAGTAAACAAGCAGCTTGTAAGATTTGAGGTTTTCACAGCGGTGAGTATGAAGATTTCCGTATGACCTCTGAAACGTTGGTTAACATCGACCAGACTACAAACAACCCAGAAGACGGAAATCTTCAACAAGCAGCTTGTTTGCCAAAATGCTTTGTTCTGGGCAGTACATGGGCACCTCCCAGACCAAACTGCCTCAATCTTGACACCTTGTTGCAAATCTAAGTTAAACCAATTCACTCAATATTATTATAATCTCTGATCAAAAGAAGCTGTTAATTTAGATGAAAGAAGTAATTTAATCCCTGTTATGAAAATGACATCTGATGCTAGTATATCTAGTTTATCTTTCATCTCAAGCTCTTCTGGGAATAAAACTCAGATCAGGCAGTCACAATGGGGACAAGTGGTTGGTGTCATGCAACACAAAAATCCTTGAGAAATGCCACAACACTTTCTCTTGGTGATGATATTAAGGTTTTTGATGTCTCCACAAGTGTTGTGTGTTGATGGTGGTGTCACAGTCCATGAATGTCAGTGTCAGCCTTTTCAGATAGATTCTGTACCTGGAATGCTGGCACTTAACCACATCAAACAATTCCTGTTTGCTGGAACACATTTGATCTGTAGCACAGTTCATGGTACACACAGCCACATGATCACCTGCTAATGGTTGTTCACTAGCAGCCCTGCAAATGTGTTTGTTCTTAAAAAACCTCCATAGTCAATCTCTGTATCTTAATCTTTACATTATTAGCTACCTTTATATTATGATTTTGATTCCCAGTCTGGTGACGAGACATGAACATACACTTTGTTTCTGCAGCACTTACTTCTGGACCACCTTCCTTACAAGCATCTAACAGCGCTTCTGTGGTTTTCATTATGATATTTATGTTTCTGCCCAGTACATTATCATTATCAGCATAGCCCAGAAGCTGATGTATCCCATTCAAATATATCATTCTGCTTGGACATCCCTAATGGTGTTCTGAAGCAAAGGTGATAAAGTTCCTCTTTGTTTCAGACCATTCACACATATTTACCAAAATGGCTCTTACTTTAGGTTTTGTTTAAACAAATTTCAGAAAATTATATTTATTTTCAACCAATAGCTGAATTTATATACCATTATCATCTGGAACCATATTTCTGCTACAAAACTAGTCCTTTACAGAATTCTTTGAGTTCAATATTCAACAGAGATATTAGTATTTTTATCATCAGCACCAAGTACAGAATGACTGTAACAAACATAACCTCCAATTCTGTTCCAGGCATGCTTTACTTATAGAAAGATACAGAATTTGAACCTGGCCATTTAGTCTGAAAAGACCATATTCCTTTCATTCCTTCTAGGTATTATTTTCCAGTGAAAACTTTTAATGGTAGCATTGATATAAGCCAGAAAACATATAATAATTCACTTCCCAAACCATAAATAAAATCTAAACAATTAAAAACCATATTCACCTGTGAAATACAGTAACAAGTACAATCTACCGTCATCATTGTATTATTACCATAGTAAGACTGGAGATGTAATAGTATAACTGAGGGGATATGAATGCATTAACATGACACAACCATTACATGCATTATTGTTGAAAGAAGTGTCTGTAAAACCAGTAACATTTTTATTTTGTATCACTAAAAGTGCATGAATTTTTCTTTTTGCCAATGACAGTTTTAAAATAAATCTAAGATATACCACTACCGCATAAGGGGAAGAAGATAACAAATAATCACATCCTAAAAACATCTTCATAAACAATGGAAGTACTGTTTTCTTCCACATGTTCAAATGCATTGATACTGGAAGACATCTATCTTCGGAAAATCTGCACATCTTTGTACGCAAACACAGACTGCAAACTTTAAAAAAATATGTGATAATGAGTGGAAGTGATGCATAGTTGGTACTTTGTGACTTATCCTTGATGAAGGCATAAATTTTTCCACAATAATTACCAGTAGCTATATTTCTGCACAATTTATATTAGAAAAAGTATAAGGAAGGAAAGTGTTTATTTTTTCTTACTTCAGTATAAAAAGTTAAATGTCTGCCCATTCATGGATGAAAAGCAGGATTTTTTTAATATAAGTAAAAATGGAATCAAAACACACTTCCATTTCTTTCCAACACTTGAAGAAAGGCAAAGTTAATTTATAATTTATATTTATTGCAAGACAGACTTGAACTAGTGCACCTATTAGAACATGAACCAAAACACATTCAGAAAAAGAAGTGGGCTGTAAATGTAGCTTACAAGGGAATGGTCTGGTTTGTCAGGTTGAAACCTTTCCTGAAATTATGCAGGTTTACATGGTGCAAGTGTGTGAGAAAACTGTGCAAAGTTGGGGCACGCATTTAAAGTTTGTACCACCATGCACATGCATGATGGCAGCACACCTAACATTTCCTGGTGAATTAAACAGAGTGATTAGTGCCATATGCTGATAAGACTGTGAAAGAGTCTGGAATTGTCTTTCTCTCTCTCTCTCACACACACATATCATATTAATTGAATAAGTTTGTGCATAGGAACCAACGCCAGACAAATGCACATACTAAGCTACAGTTTCAGGCCTCAGAAAAATGCATTATAAGTTATAATGTGTAGTAGGTGTTAATTTCTAAAACTAATTATAAATAACCAACAGCAACATAAAAACTTAATATTTAAATTAATCTATTGTAAAACCACTTTATTTTAGCTTAACACAGTCACATGTGAATACCAATGCTACAGTAGTATAATGCTTTCATTCACATCAGTTTCATGTCTATTTTTTAATGTTTTCTTCAATCAGAATGATAAGTATACATTTAGTCTTTCAAATTTTTTTTGGGCCTCTTAAAGTTGAAATAGTGTAGGGTCTCACAAGGTCAAGTCTGGCCCTGACAGCAACCACATATTTTATATAAGGAATTTCGCAGAGCTCACAGAATGCATACAGAAAATTGTATATAAAATTATGCACTATAATTGTCACAGAAATGTGAAGCATAAATAGCATGTTTCAAGAACCACCGAACATGCACTACAAACATTGAATCTGAGGTTTTTGTCTAGTTTGCAAGTTTGTCTTGTTCTGTGCAGATATAACTGCACTTGTGTTACAAACACTTGAAGTCTCAGAGCAACGTAAAAGAAAACAGGCGGTACGCATCGCATGAGCTCTGCTTGATTACTGAAATAAAATGTATGGTTCCTATGTATGTACTGATTCAATTCTAAGGCTTTCACAGCCTTATCAGTGTTTGGCCCCACACAGTCCATTAAAAAGCACTGGGGAACACAGTTCCACTGCTAAGCATTCTGCACAGTGGCATGAATCTGAACTGTAGACCCCAACATCAGGAAATTTTTTCACAATCTTGCACTGCATATCAGCAGCTAAAATGTTGTGTGCAGTCATTACCAAATAGGCTCTGTGAACACAAAATTTCAGGCAAGGTTTCGACCTTAAAAATCGATCATTCCCTTGCCAGAGCATACCTGAAGTGGTAGATTTTAAGTTTTAGCTATATATTTTAATTAAAGAAAAACAGTTCTCAGCATGACTAAGAATAACTAAGAACACTTTTCAATCAATGCAGAATTCATCTATCTGATCTTAATTATTTCAATATTACTGCTTAAGTCTGATATTTTGAGAAATATGATGAAACAAGATGAAGTCTGAAGATTTTTGATGACTGTGCGTTATGATATGTAAAACTGTTTTCCTGGACTTGTCAATTGTTTAAATTATAAATTAATATAACTGCATTTCGGAAGCTGCATATGAACCACTGTGATGTCATTAATTTATAATTTAGATGATGTCCAAAGTCCAATAAAACAATTTTAAAGATCATGGTGAAACAAGTTTACAAGATTCTTGTAAATACTGTTTGGAAGTGAGAACTACACTTTAAATTGTTATAAAACAAATTTTGCCACACCTTTGACAAATGTGGTAAGTGCAACTTTTTTCCACTGCCCAGTGCCTAGTGTAGATACAAATTCAATCACATTTAAGGCTGCTGTGCTATATATTTCCATAATTGAGAAGATTTTTAACAACCACAGTCCTCACAGCAGATACTAGTGCTATTTTTCCTTCCGATCAGAGAGAAGGCCATTATGTAGTTTACTTATTTCTGGTTCAAGCAGTTCATATATTAACGTCCCATTTTCATCAAAGAAGTTAGCAACAGACTTCATCAGAGTAGCTTCTCTCACTGTCCCTGTTTTGCCATCCTTGCAACTCAGAACCAGGCTGTACTTGTCATCATATCTGAAGGAGAGAAATTAAAATTGCATGTTAATAAATAAGAGTTGTGTGCTGATAATTTTAAATGTTAATATACTGGTTTTATGGAAATGTAATAATAAGATTATAACAGTATACAGTTTACACTTAACAGGTGTATTTGGCACATGGGATTATACATGACATTCTGTTCAAATTACTTGCAAAATATAAGCAGAATGACTTCTGAAGTACAAACTTAATCTTCAATTCATTAAGAGCATCTCCATACGATTATAAACACAGAATATACAATTACACAAATACACACTATGAAGGTTTTGACAATTAATAGCTATGAATGTTTTAGAGTGAACAGTCTTCGTACAGCAGGAAAATATACAAGATTCATAAACTCAGTTCCTTTGGTTTAAACTAGGAGTCCTGATACTATGTTCTTCTTCCAGACAACATGCTATGGCATTTATATCATCATCTGACATTACTGTCCTCCTGGGTAATGGATATAGTTTCCTCACTTTCATCTGGATTTTATTGTACAGTAAGCAGTTCGTGTGTAATGTGGGCGTCTTCTTGTTCTATCGAAAATAGTTCATACTTAGGATTTTCTGCCTACAAGCCAATCTACTGACAGTGTAATTACGTAGTTTACATACAAATTTATGTTGAATTTTGTGATTTCAGACATTTTCATTCACATAATGATTACTGTACTGAAAGATGACACTTCCTTCAATTCCAAACATTATGTGAGAGACTGATTCTCTCACCATTCTAAAATCAAATGACTGCTGAAGAAAAATCAAAAAGATAATGCAACAGCACACACTGCAAACAATTCTATATGGTGGCATTACATGAAGTCTTCAGCGAATGAGTTATAAGTTGAGGACTGTGGCCTTTGTAATCACCTGATTTAAAACCTTGTGACTTCTATTTGTGGGACATGATGAAAGAATAAGTGTATGTGAACAATTCACACTCTTTGGAAGAACTTCAAGAAAATATTAAGCATGAAATTTCTGCTATTCCCTTACAGCAACTTCAACTTGCGTCTAGGAAAATATTCTCATGATATGAGGCATGCTTACAAGCAGAGGGTCATCACTTTTAGACTCTTCTATAAAATAAGGTAAGTTAAACAACAGCAGAAAAGCAGGCCATGAATAACAGACTACCACGCCGAGTCTATGTGAGAAGCGTACCATGTCGGTTGCTGGATCAAGTCTAACTATTAACGGTAGACAGGAAAATGATCATGTGTGGCGAGTTGGTTAAGGACTTGGAAGGAGAAAGTCATGGCCTATCTATTATTGAAAGTACTATTCTTGAGGGACTGAGGAACCCCCAAAATAAACTTCAATCTAAACAGCTGGTAATCTGGCTCGATTCAAACCAAATATCTCCTAACTACAAGTATAAAACCGTTACTTTTTCACCGAAGTGAGCTGTATCTTTCTAAACGCGTATTAATCTGACTTTATGAGTGTTTCAATAACCGAAAAGAAATAGATCCTGATCTGTACTTACTTCTTTAAATAAGAACTGGCTTCCCATATGTTATCAGGCACAAAGCCAGCTGCGTCCTTCTGGATTGTCACTACAAATATTCCTTTTTCTTTGTATGTTGTGTACAGGGTAAGGATTCCCATCATAACAAAGTATGTAGACACACAAAATATAAGAATAGGCCTGGAACAAGCAAGTTAAAGAGCAATAAGTAATATTCAGAGTAATGAGAAACCAGGATGTTCCTAAGCTGAGTCTAAATGTTTCTGATGACAGTATGCCATCATATTATTTTGTAGCTTAACAGTGCACATATTGTATTTAAAACTTTGAAGGACTGTATTTTGATAAATTCTTAAATAAGATTACCTTAACAAACTATGTAATATTTCACAGAAGAGGTTATTCAATTGCCTTTGAAATGAGGTTAATTTGAGCTTCATAATATGAATTGAGGATAGAGTTACAGCAACTGAAAAACATCGTCTCACTATAAAATGGCATTTGTTAAAACTCAAAATATCAATAAATCAAAACTATTACATTTACTAGTGTATAATTTAGGATGGTTACTCACCACTATAAAGCATTGTGCCTCAACAGATTTCATTAAAATCTGAAGAATCATGATTTTCTACTTTCCTTCAAAATTCCAAAGATATACCTTACAAGATGCTACCATAATGTAACAATCTGTTCTGTACAATGAATATTCGCTATACAGGCCGATTCAAAAGGTTAGGGCCAAACTGAAGGAGCGTATAGAGGGACTCAGAGAGAACAACTTTCGAATAGGAATCCATGTCCTCCGAAGTTATCCTGAGTCAGTCGAGACCATTGAGGGTAGGGAAGTCTGATAACATACCGATGAAATAATCGTACTTTGCTATTCTCCTACTACCTTAATTTTGTTTTAAGACACCAATTACTATCAAGTCGCCAACACAAACAACCCAGGAGCCTCTGCACTCACAAATAACCAAAATGAAACTACAAAAGCAGCAATACACCAGTCACTATCAACTCACAAACACAATGTAAACAGCCCAGGGGCCTCTGTAGAATCTGACAGGATACGTGTGATTCAAAATTAAGATAGCAGGAGAATACCAAAGTACGATTATTTCAGCAGTATGTTATCAGACTTCCTTACCTTCAATGGCCTCGGCTGACTCAGAATGACATGGATTCCTATTCAAAAGTTGTTCTCTCCGAGTCCCTCTATACGCTCCTTCAGTTTGGCCTTAACCTTTTGAATCACCCTGTATATTTTGTGCAATTGTAGGTATTATTTTCTGAGTTATGTAAAGCTTCAGTGCAAATACTTTTCATTGCTCTTGCAGTGCAGTATTATTTTTCAAGAAAATTTATACTTACCCACTGACTGCATGAACAAACAGAATGTATACTTGAAGTCATTAATAATTAAATAAAAGTGTGCTAAACTGGCAATAGTAGGAGAATCTCTGCTCTCTACAATTCACCACTGAATGATGGCTGCAGTATCACACTGGACCACAGATGGTTAAATGATGTACACAAAGAACATGGTAAATGTTACTGTTTGCCAACAGTTAAGTCAAAGAACAAACATTTTTGCAGGAGTTTTCTTAAGTGATTAGTACAGGGCAGAGTTAGAATAAGATAATGTAACCCACATTATATTCCTCATCCACTTTCATAATTCAGGTTTACTGTAACAGTACCTTACCTGGATTGTGGAAAGGGATACAGATAATCCCATAACAGAGCAAACATGGCTACACCAACAGCTATGCCACACATTACCAATCTGCTATCTATTAATGAAAAACTTTCAACGTAATTGAACTTCTTTGTTAAAACCTGTGAAAGAGAAATTAATGTCATACAAAAAGTATTCAGACCAAAATATCAACAACAAAAATTTCACTGAAAGGCTGGTACAACCTACAAGATGAACTTAAGGCCATTGCTGCTTCCTCCAAGTAGAATATTTAACTGCAACTTGTAGGGGCAGTGCTTTATAGTTCAAATGTCATTCTGTTTGTTAACAATTTTTGTCAAGTAAATTACTGATGAAGCCCTTTAAAAAATACTTCTTCAGATCATTCAATGTATATGGTGAGGCTAGCAAGAACTTTAAATTATTTAGAATGCAAGTTAGTGACCCATTTCTATGCATAACTTTCACCTGTACAGATTTCAACCAAGTTCGTTTTGTCACATAAAACATCAAAGTTTTACACCACTGCCACATTTATAATTAACAAGAAAGAAGTTTAATACAGAATTTGTACGTGTTCATTATCTACCTTCTTAAAGAATTTCACAATCCTGGCTCCAGAGATTTATTAGTTCTGACACAAACAGAAAAATAACACATGCTGTTGTTTTACATTCGACAAGAATAAATTTTCAGGAAAAGTCAACTTTTTCGATAATATAGCGCAATAAATTTCAGGATCTGACATTAAGTGGCTTGAGTGACACCTATCTCAAAAGGTCATTACAACATTGGTATTACTAAGACTTAACTTCTCATCAGTTAGCTACACAACAATCTGTTAAGCATAGTAACATTGTGCACCATGAAAAATCTATTTCATGCACAAAGAGGGTTGAAAAGAACAAACACATGTGCACTCAGACACAGTATGCATGTGCACACGCACACATCCACACACTAGAACTCCTGAATTATACTGCTACAAAATTTCTCAACAAAGTTTACTTATATGTTGCTTCAATAAAGAATCAGCTTCAAGTTCCTGAACTTTCTGACTCTACCACATATACTATGAAGGTGAAACAATGACTCTCAAATGTGTCTACAAGCATGAACAACTTTCTTTGATTCAGTATAGCATCACTAAATCCAAGCTCTGACAATGTGATGAAGAGAGAGACGTTCTTCACTGACAGTGAGTCCGGTTACATCAAATGAATTTTAGTGTAAATGAAAGGCAGTTATATCAGCCATCAGAAACAAGATTTGTGATTTTTTATCATCAGAACCAGGGCTGTGGAGTCAGAGTCAGAGTCGAGGAGTTGGAAGCAATTTTAGGTGGAGTCGGTAAAAATGTACCAACTCCGACTTCGATATAAAATCTTAAGAACACTTTTTCTACCATGTGAGCTGCCAGCGGCCTAATGCTTAGGGGGATTCAACGACACGTTGAGCCACATGGTGTGGGATGCCTTGTAACTTTGGCACCAGTACCTTAAGAAAACAAACTGTCTACAAATGAAATGATTTCTGAAATAACCATTATACATATATTTAAATATATGTTAAAAGTCTAAAACGTAGCCTGATGATTCACGTGGTGGTGTTGACATCTCTTGTGGTACCATTTACCATTTTAGTAGGTTTACCATTATTAATATATATTGAGCTTTTATGAAGGAGTCAGAGGTTTTAGTGCTGATTCCATAGCCCTGATCAGAACTCAAATATTAGACAATTCCTTTTATGGAAAAAATTGAATACAAGAACTATAAACCAGAATCATCTGTAAGCAGTGGAACCAATTCTTATTCCAAAAATCCTGTAAGCTGTGCTAGCAGCCCGTTTCTGCACAACTTGCGTTGCTGCAAGGTCAAACATTGTGGTTCTTCAATTTATGAAGCAATCTCTTTTCTAGAAAGATAGGATATCTGTTGGCATTATGTAGAAGCAAAATTAAATGTAATTTTTCATGCAAGATGTCACAAGATGTACTTAATTTAAGTAGTATCAAGCTGTAAGTAGCACTATTAAGTTGTTAAGTGGGAGCCATTGCTTCTTTTAGATGTAAAAAGATTTCAGATTTCAAATCAGTGAGGAAAACCAAAAAATTCTTAGAATAGCCATTCTCAAAGCTAAAAACAAAATCTTAGAGTACATTTCCAACTATTTTCATATCCAGGTTTTTGTGATCATTTTACAAAGAATGAAAACTGGAGAAAACCATAAATGATGATCCTGAGGAAACAATTATGGGAAATGCCAATACATTTAATTTCAGAAACTTGCTGGTAAGGCCTCTCATAAATTGTTATCACAATAATGTGTTTTTAAATTTGATTTTCCTTTTGTGTTTGGCACAAAGAGTTAAAAAATAATCAACTCAATATATTTTGATATTATTGTAACAAAAACCACTAGTTAACTTGGGGTTCTTTGCTTGAAACGTGGATTTATTACTCTCATGATAATTACAGGCAATTATTCTCTTCATACCAGTTATGAATCACAGAGTTCAACCTTCTGCCTAGATTTTACATACTGGTATTAAACATTCTCTTCTTACAAACATACTGCTTCTAGCACACATTGCTTGCCTCTCCTGTATCACTTCTTAATAATCAGCTTTCAACTTGCTTCAAAAGTCACAATTGACTTTGCTGGCTGCCAACATGCCATGTGTATGAAAAGTAAACTGTCCAGTAACTTATGGATCCTTGTATTTAATTTGAGACAATTCTAAGAACCATGCACAGCAGGTGACAATTTACAGCTGGTCAAGAAACTGCTGGAAGTTACTAGCTATATTCATGCATAGTACTGGGTGACATAACTCACAACTCTTTTAATGAATGCCTGTGACATTATTTTAAAATAACTACATAGCAACCAATCATTATTATTATTATTATTATCACACTTCAAAATCAGGCTACTTAAACTACAACTACTATTACTACTTCTGTATCCCCAGAAGACATTCTTTTGAGAATCACTGATCTTGTAAGAAAAATGATCAAGCTTCACAAGTTAGAGTAGAGTTTGCAAAATATAATTTCTTTATATATTAAATCACAATATGACGCAACTTTACCATCTTATAATTTCTTTATTGCACCCCTCTACAAATACCAAATGCCAGATTGCCATGGCACCCAAAAACACTGCCTTGGTATACAGCATTTTCATGAGTATCCTAATTATTGTTGTGTTCAGCTATTTCTGCAAAGCAGAAATTTTGAGCTCAACAGTCGGATATACCTACAAAGAAGGCATACATACTGAACATAGAATGCCTTTCTCACCTCCTTCACAGCATCATCCAAAGCATTTTTTACTGCAGAACCATCCCATTTATTAATCTTCACAGGTTTGTCTTTTTCCTGAAAGAATAAAACCAACTTTTAATAATAAATAAGACCAATATTTTATACTTGAACCATAGGCATCATTCATGTCACTGCAACGCGGAAAAAGTTGTTCCTTATGGGAATAGTTAGGATACATGTGTTGAAGTTCCAATCCATGTGCAAACCAAAGTTCGAAAACAGATGAAACGGATTATTTATATATCTCAGTAAAATTTCAACGTCCTTTCGCTTATAACATCAATCTTACGAGTGACCAATGTAATTACTACAACAAAATTGCCGACTACCTATACCTGAGTGCCTTTAGCCATTTTTGAAGCCAAGTAGACAATCACATACAATATCAACTATCTATGCAGACAACTGTGACGTGTATTTCTTGCATTTTCGCACTTGTGCGTTGGTCATTCTGCGCACTCCGATGTGAAATTTAATCCACAGATACACTGCCATCTATGATACAGTTACATAACTATTGATGAAAGAAATGTGCGCAATGTGCGATTTCCTAAATTCGTCAAACAGTCATTTATTGTTAGGTTAGACCGTACAGGCCGACGGGAAGCATAACTGTAATTGGAAAATGGTGCCTTATGAACTACAACTTTCATATACTTTTGCTACCGGGATTTTTGTCTTGGCTGTAGACTTTGACATGTATAGACTAGGGTCTATTGCTAGTAATGGGAGGATGATACCATCAGTTTGTGAAGAGAACTTTGGTTGGATGGTTGTCTGGGAAGTGAACCCTGAAGGGTCTGGGTCGCTTTGGCTGATGGCCTTGCGACATTGGGGCAGGGGGTCATTTTGGCCGAAGGCTTTCATGTTCAGGGTAAAAGGACTGTGCCCCTTTAAGTTATAACCTGGCATTTGCTGTACACACAGGAAAAGCACTGAAAACTTAAGTCAAAATAGCGGAGCGGTTATACAACAATCGTTATATCGAACTGGCTAACTTTTTAGGGGTAGCCTCGACTGGCCCGATGATATGAAAACAAACTTTCTAGAACTGATTCACCAGATTCATGCAGTGCAAGTCTTCACTTTTTTCAGCTGTAAATTCTAACACAGATAATTATTGCATTAACTTACCAAAACCAGTGAGATGGGTCATAATCATAATTTAAAAAGTAGTTTGTCTGTTTTAGCAAATTAAGCAGCATGTTTTAAAGGTGTATACTCACAAGTTTTGAATATGAGTTATTGATAGTTTGAGTTGAATTTATTTGAACTAATTGCCCCTAAATATTTGTTGTACCTAGTGCCAAAGGTTCATCCTACTTGTCCAACATGCTTTAAAGGGAAATCCATACACCATACTGCTTTTATGGTATTTATTGTTTTTAGAAAGTCTCAGTTCAGTATGTTAAAATAAAATTCCTGCCATGACATGTAAATTATTCCTGTATGCATTCAATTGTTTACATGGTATTGGTGAATGCTGTGCAGGCATTATTGCACTGTCAGCAGTTCCAAAATAGAAACAAGATCACCTTGGTTGCAAGATGGATGTCTTGTGAACTTTATTCTGAACTGTTAAGACTTGTTTACAGGACTCCAGCTTATGTCTTGTGAACTGTTGATAGAATACTGTCCTTATGTAAATTGACCATTGTGGAATGAAGAAATTTGAATGCTAATGAGTATTTTCAACCCTTTAGACAAAGGTGCAAAAGAAGGATTTATATATACATGACTATATTTCAATCCAAACAAAAGTGTAATGAGCAAAGTGTGACATGATTTTTATGTTCCAGAATGAAGAAGAAGGTAAAATCATAATGTATTTCATTAGTGTATGGCATAAACACAATTACAACAAGGAGATTATAGGCAGTAACTATAAAGTTTTTGTCCCCAACAATAATTCTGACAAAACTACCAAAGCCATGCAAATTCAAAATTGGTAACAGCATATGTTGGCATAAGAAGATACCATGACTGGCAATATATTGAAAAGATAAATTTAATGGAAATCTGGAAATTTTCTTATAAGAGAGCTTGCTGGGGTTCATATGAACCTCTTTAACATGCAGGTGAAATGGTGTATTTATTAATGTTTCAGTCTGACAAAATAAATGGCAGCTACTGCGATTTGACTCAAGTTGAAGTCCTGTCAATTAACAGTAATGTTAAATTATATATTCTGCCATGTGTCTTTAAACATATCCTAATTTACAACAATTTTCCATGCCAAAAGTACCTACAGTGCCTGGAAATCAGCATTTGCCCATTTTATACCTACAAATCCCACATTTACTGAAAGAATAATAAATAACATCATCATTCAGTTCCATTAACACAATCATTTTTGAAGCTGCATAAGACAACCCCACTGCCATGTCAATTTCAACAAACAAAGTTTCACATGTTTGTGATAATATGTGGTGGGGAGTATGAAGATGAATATCTTCTGGGATATTGCAAGGCGTCATAGACAATGTAAATAAAATGTTCCTTCCTTCAGTGTCAGTTCTGCAACTACAGCCAAATTAAGTTGTTTCAGTACAGAATGTCTTGTTCCAGGCTTTGTCTATGAACTTAGACATCTGATGCATCTATCAGGCTACATGGCAGATGAAATGCACTCAAGACGTGACATTAAATGGTATGATTGGTTCATGGATATGACAGTGTAGTGAAGTCATCACAACTGGGAAGACCATGTATACAAGAAGCCCAAGTTGAGGCAATCAGGGAAGCTTTCCAGTGAAGCCTTGCAAAATTAAATCGCCATGGATAACAGGAATAAAAATCCCATCTTCTCTGAATATGGGTTAGCAATCAGATCAAAATATGTTAATTAATTTATGAATTACCACTCTTTAATTTTGTGTCATTATTTTATAAGTGCCCTGCTTAACTTGAAACATTTTGTTAGCTGTGTATAGATATTTTTAATGCAAAAACATAATTCATTTGAGTGTGGTCTTCTAATCTGTGATGCCATTTGTCATGTATGCAGTTCACTTGGCTCAGAAAGGCATTGCACTGCAAGAACACAATACAATACAAAATGAATATATGAAAATAATATGGCTAAACATATAGGTATATTAGATCAGCTTTCAAAACAAAATCAAATCTTTCCATCACACGGAAAACACATCAACAAATTTCACAGAGTTCGAAAATGGCTGTCTTCTGCTCAAAGCGCTGTGGTAATAGTTTACCGTCGTTTCAGAGGTACCTGCAGCCTCCATCATCAGCACGAAGCACACTGTTGCCGGTTCCTCCACAGATAACACCATCCTCAACATCCATTACAACTGCTTTATGATTGGTCCAAAATGTATCGTGGCCAGGCATGCCAACCATCTGATTTCTTGTAGTAGTTCTTGTCAACGATGACAGATGTCACTGCCTGAGCTATCAACTTACCCTATTTCAGTTTCGATACTGGAATTCGATATAGGTCGGTAATCTTCTCTGTCATTGCGAGTGCTGACTACTAATGCGCAGGCGCTGCTTTCGGTTTCAATAAATGGAGGACATGTTGGTCTTTACTCCTAATTTGTTTGTATAATGTCGCCAACATGTCGGTACATAATAACAGAGCAAACAAATACTGACTTATTTGATTAGTCAAAGTCCTACTTGTATATTTTCTTACATGAATACAGTAAACCATCGATTTAACGGACTAATAGGAAGTGGAGGTTGTCCGGTAATACCGATAGTCCGTTAAATTGTCCAGTAATGAAACCGTAGACCATAATCTCCACAAACATCACTAAACAGTTTAGTAATATCAATTGACGCCGACAATGACACTGCAGTATAGGGAGATGATAAAGCGCAAAATGTCCGAACTAACGTCATATACCTGTTATTGTTGGCAGTGGCGGCTCGTGAGTCTGAGCAGTGGTAGTGCTACGCAAGGTGGAAAAATCAGAATAGTTTTTCAACACATAACAATATAAATAAATGAAATGTAAATTTACATCAGGAGAAAACCCACACGTGCTCGACGATGTTTTAACTATTTATAAGTCCGGAAGAGGGCGGCCATGATTTTTACATCATTTTTTTCACTCAAAGACAATTTAGAAAAAGTAATTTGCCGTAACTATGATACACTTCCTTTGCTCATTATCATTATCAGGACAAAAAATAGTCAGCACACAGAATTATTGAACACTCATTAACAATAACCACGAAACAGTTTGTGATACAGAAACCAGTCTAAAGCATGTGGTATCGGGCAAGCGTGTTTACTACAAGCCGGCTGCGGGGACTGTAGCGGTACACCATTTGACCGTCTAGCAGCACTGAAATCCTTGCAGCCGGATAATAGGCCCGTTCTGCTTCGCACTCTTCGCCCGCGGACTTATTATCAACTTAGCCGATTAGTGGATTATGGCAAAGTAAGGGGCAATATTAGAATATTGATATATAGGATATAAAGTTTCACGAATTATATAAATAGAAAGAATAAATTTTTCAATTTGTGAAAAGTGGCAATATATTGAAAAGATAAATTTAATGGAAATCTGGAAATTTTCTTATAAGAGAGCTTGCTGGGGTTCATATGAACCTCTTTAACATGCAGGTGAAATGGTGTATTTATTAATGTTTCAGTCTGACAAAATAAATGGCAGCTACTGCGATTTGACTCAAGTTGAAGTCCTGTCAATTAACAGTAATGTTAAATTATATATTCTGCCATGTGTCTTTAAACATATCCTAATTTACAACAATTTTCCATGCCAAAAGTACCTACAGTGCCTGGAAATCAGCATTTGCCCATTTTATACCTACAAATCCCACATTTACTGAAAGAATAATAAATAACATCATCATTCAGTTCCATTAACACAATCATTTTTGAAGCTGCATAAGACAACCCCACTGCCATGTCAATTTCAACAAACAAAGTTTCACATGTTTGTGATAATATGTGGTGGGGAGTATGAAGATGAATATCTTCTGGGATATTGCAAGGCGTCATAGACAATGTAAATAAAATGTTCCTTCCTTCAGTGTCAGTTCTGCAACTACAGCCAAATTAAGTTGTTTCAGTACAGAATGTCTTGTTCCAGGCTTTGTCTATGAACTTAGACATCTGATGCATCTATCAGGCTACATGGCAGATGAAATGCACTCAAGACGTGACATTAAATGGTATGATTGGTTCATGGATATGACAGTGTAGTGAAGTCATCACAACTGGGAAGACCATGTATACAAGAAGCCCAAGTTGAGGCAATCAGGGAAGCTTTCCAGTGAAGCCTTGCAAAATTAAATCGCCATGGATAACAGGAATAAAAATCCCATCTTCTCTGAATATGGGTTAGCAATCAGATCAAAATATGTTAATTAATTTATGAATTACCACTCTTTAATTTTGTGTCATTATTTTATAAGTGCCCTGCTTAACTTGAAACATTTTGTTAGCTGTGTATAGATATTTTTAATGCAAAAACATAATTCATTTGAGTGTGGTCTTCTAATCTGTGATGCCATTTGTCATGTATGCAGTTCACTTGGCTCAGAAAGGCATTGCACTGCAAGAACACAATACAATACAAAATGAATATATGAAAATAATATGGCTAAACATATAGGTATATTAGATCAGCTTTCAAAACAAAATCAAATCTTTCCATCACACGGAAAACACATCAACAAATTTCACAGAGTTCGAAAATGGCTGTCTTCTGCTCAAAGCGCTGTGGTAATAGTTTACCGTCGTTTCAGAGGTACCTGCAGCCTCCATCATCAGCACGAAGCACACTGTTGCCGGTTCCTCCACAGATAACACCATCCTCAACATCCATTACAACTGCTTTATGATTGGTCCAAAATGTATCGTGGCCAGGCATGCCAACCATCTGATTTCTTGTAGTAGTTCTTGTCAACGATGACAGATGTCACTGCCTGAGCTATCAACTTACCCTATTTCAGTTTCGATACTGGAATTCGATATAGGTCGGTAATCTTCTCTGTCATTGCGAGTGCTGACTACTAATGCGCAGGCGCTGCTTTCGGTTTCAATAAATGGAGGACATGTTGGTCTTTACTCCTAATTTGTTTGTATAATGTCGCCAACATGTCGGTACATAATAACAGAGCAAACAAATACTGACTTATTTGATTAGTCAAAGTCCTACTTGTATATTTTCTTACATGAATACAGTAAACCATCGATTTAACGGACTAATAGGAAGTGGAGGTTGTCCGGTAATACCGATAGTCCGTTAAATTGTCCAGTAATGAAACCGTAGACCATAATCTCCACAAACATCACTAAACAGTTTAGTAATATCAATTGACGCCGACAATGACACTGCAGTATAGGGAGATGATAAAGCGCAAAATGTCCGAACTAACGTCATATACCTGTTATTGTTGGCAGTGGCGGCTCGTGAGTCTGAGCAGTGGTAGTGCTACGCAAGGTGGAAAAATCAGAATAGTTTTTCAACACATAACAATATAAATAAATGAAATGTAAATTTACATCAGGAGAAAACCCACACGTGCTCGACGATGTTTTAACTATTTATAAGTCCGGAAGAGGGCGGCCATGATTTTTACATCATTTTTTTCACTCAAAGACAATTTAGAAAAAGTAATTTGCCGTAACTATGATACACTTCCTTTGCTCATTATCATTATCAGGACAAAAAATAGTCAGCACACAGAATTATTGAACACTCATTAACAATAACCACGAAACAGTTTGTGATACAGAAACCAGTCTAAAGCATGTGGTATCGGGCAAGCGTGTTTACTACAAGCCGGCTGCGGGGACTGTAGCGGTACACCATTTGACCGTCTAGCAGCACTGAAATCCTTGCAGCCGGATAATAGGCCCGTTCTGCTTCGCACTCTTCGCCCTCGGACTTATTATCAACTTAGCCGATTAGTGGATTATGGCAAAGTAAGGGGCAATATTAGAATATTGATATATAGGATATAAAGTTTCACGAATTATATAAATAGAAAGAATAAATTTTTCAATTTGTGAAAAGTTATAGGGGGTGCTGCAGCTCTTATGGTCGGGCCGCCATTGATTGTTGGTTTAAGCTGCCGTGGTGAAGAGTGGAGACCACTTACACTCGTGGCTGTAGCAGTCATTAGCGGACTTCGTCAAAACCCAAAATGTCCGCAACTGCCTCGCGTTCAGGAAAAGAACTGTCACAGTACCAGACGGTGCCCGTTAAATCGTAAATCCCGTAATTCGATGGCCACCATCTTTCTGACTGAGCTACCCCTGCTCCTGAAATGTAGGTAGATTTTATTATAACACTGACAACACATATCAGGAGTGTCTCTTAACTATAAATTGTAGGCGTACTTGTAAGTGTTACACCGTATTTCATTATTGTGGTATTGGTCACGGGCTTGCAGGTTAGGTTAACCGTGTGTTCCACGAAACCATTTTGCCTTCGAAACGTAATGCAGAATCTGAAACTAAATGTCTGATTTTAGATGTAAAAGCACTCGCAATAAACATACTTTACAATTCAAGAACTCCACTTAAGGGCAAAGAAATGCAAGTATAAAATAACGCGACAGTCACATCGTTAAGCGGGACCAAACGAGCAACAGTGTCATCACATTATAATTGCGCCAATGCATATCACGCTCACAGTATTCAGCCATGCTCATAAACAGGCAAAATTATCATTTTCTACATTCTTCGACCAAAATTACAACTTTAAGGACTTGTTTGTGAACTGAACTGTGTTCATACTGAAATCCACAGAGCTCTGGAAGCCCGTCTAGGTCCTGCGGACCACAGTTTAATAACCACTACGCTCCTCAATATGTTTATAAATGATAACTTTTGAATCCTGCACCGTTAATTTTTGTATTTGTGTCTATAAATGGA